CGCTACTACTGTCTTTGACTCTAATTATCTCAGCTCCCATAAAAGATATAAAAATCTGTTAACTAATGAAATCTTGCCCTTATAATGATAAAGATTTTATCAGTTGGGTTCTTTTCGATATCTCTTACAGTAACCAAGATAAAATGTCTCAAAAATTAGAACTCTGAGTCGCTGACTCATTTTGCCACTATACAACTCTCTTTTCAATAAAGAGGTAATAACATCGAAATTCTCCATATCAGTGTCACTGATAACCTTCGCCCCTCTCTTGGGGTCTTCTGGAGGCTAGGTTCAGGTACTACTTTTGAATTTTTCCCACTGATAAGAAGGAAGAGGCAAATTTTGGAACATTCTGTGCCAAACAAGAAAAGAGAGAGAGAGAGAGAGAGAGAGGGAGAGAGAGAGAGAGAGAGAGAGAGAGAGAGAGAGAGAGAGAGAGAGAGAGAGAGAGAGAGGATGATAGTGATAGTATACTGATAAGAAGGAAAATTTGAATTTTGGAAGTGAAGAAGAAGAAGAAAAATAATAGTGATGCATGTGGAGAGGGAGGAGGGGAATAGTACTAATTTTTGGTGTGACGAAATTTTTATATATGGGGGGGGGGGTCAGTTTTTTTTTTTGTACGACTATGACTCGGAAAAAATTTTATAGTCATAATGACGTTTTTCTTGGAATTTCAGGTATTAAAGGGACATAAGGCTCTGAGCTAGGTGGTTGAAAAATGCTAGAAAATTGTAGAGATTGGGGTCGTGGTGGAAGAATCCCGAAAAATCTGGCTACAGTACTTTAAAGGAGCATATGAGATTTTCCAAAAAAAATGTCCCCAATTTTCAGACAAGGAATTTCAAAAAAAATTCAAATTGGCGCCAATTTCGGAGTGAAGGACATTGAGCAAAAGTCATCAAGACAGAAAGAGAAAACAATTTTTAACCAGATTTTGTATCTTTAAACATGTCTCTGCATCTTTGAGTTTGCATCTTTGAGAAAAGCCTTCAAACTAACATTTAAAGGGACAGAGGGTCTTCAAAAATGTCCCTGTGCCTTTAAGATCTCTAAAAAGCCTTCATGAGTCTTCAAATTTGCACAAAAAACTTAAAATTTATATTTAAAATGTTAGAATGACCCTATGGGCAGAAGGAACCAAAAATGGTATCTGTACCTTTAAAGTTTGAAAGATAGGGTCTTGTCCTTTGAGCTCAATTATCTCGGCTCCTATAAAAGATATCAAAATGTTATCAACTAACAAAAGGTTTGCCATGATATGCTTAACATTTTATAGGTTTACAGATTTTTGATATCTATTCAACTAACCGAGATAATTTAGCTCAAAAATCAAAACCGAAAAATTATGACTCAAAATAAGTCTTGTCCCTTTAAAAAGAAGCTAGTACAGCATCCAAATCCAAGCCCCAAAAAAAGTTATGACGCCAGAAGCATCATCATGAAGCCTGTCTCAAGAGGACAAAGCGTCAAAAAGTCATTCAGAAGACGTCGCTGGTCACATCTTCAGAGATATAGGACCGGTCTCTCTCCCCGGCTTCTCCCTCCCCATCAATCCAAAGACATTTTCGAACATAACCTCGCCGCGCCCGGGGGGCATTCGGTATGTACTGACCATTCCGAGATGTCTGGCCTACTCTCTCGATTCTCTATAGTATTTCTTGTCGGATGCCCATCGCGGAAACTGGTTCCGCGCCGGTCAATTGAGGTGGCGGAGAGGAGAAGCGGAGAGGAGGAATCGGCGGAGGGACGGAGAGAAGTTTTTTGGGGTGGAATCGCGAGATCATGATCAGGGAATGGCAGCAGACGAGGGGAAAAGGAGAAGCATGAGATAGTGACCCGGTTAGCCTTGGATTTAAGGCTAGCCTATACGTCATATATGCCAAAAGCCAAAAAATTGACAACTTTGGTTTGCCGCTAATTATCTCAGTTCTTGCCAGAGATATGGAGAAGTTGTAAACTAATAAAACGTTTGTCATAACATTAGTAACATTTTATTAGTTATTAACTTTCCTGTATCTTTCCCAAGAACCAAGATAAGTTAGGTCAAAGTTGACAGTGTGGGGTCCCCCTTTAAGGATCTTTAAAGACGGTTAACTTTGACCACAATTATCTCCGTTCCTATTATAGATATCCAAAAGTTGGAAACTAATAAAATGTTTGTGATAACATTCACTACATTTGTGTAACTAACAGTTTTTGGGTATCATTCCCAGCAGCTGAGATAAACAAGATCAAAGTTGGCAATGGGGGGGGGGACCTTTAAGAGTCCTTGGAGTCAGCTTAATTATCTTTGAGCTTAATTATCTCAGTTCTTGGGAAAGATATTGACAAAGCATTAACTGCTAAAATGTTCATCATATCGTCATAAACATGTTACTAGTTGACAGATTTTTATTATCTTTCCCTGGAACCAACAGCATCAAAATTAACCAAGGGGGGGGGGGGGTCGACCTATAAGGTTCCTTTAAAGATATCTTTAGCTTTGACTCTAATTATCACAGTTTCTATGAAAGATATCAAAAAGATGTCAACTAATAAAATTTTTAGCATAATGTCATAAAAATTTTACTAATTTACCTCTTTTTGATATCTTTTACATTATCCGAGATAACAGAGATTAAAGGAGCATAGCGCTAAAAACGGCGAATTTTCAGTTGAGTTCCTAGCGAAAAGCTCCCAAGCCCTCAAAGCTACAGTAATCCTATCCCAACCAAACTTCCACCCCTCTACCCCACACCCTTCCGTTGTCACAATCAAGAGGGACCAAAGGGGGGGGGTGCCTTTTTGGCTGGGGATTTAATAAAATTATGCACGGTCCAAAAGAAGTGGCGAGAGGAAATTCGATTGGATCCGTTGGGGGGATGGGTACGATGACAAAGAGCACTTGTTTAAAGGGGAGACTAACCAACCAAAAAATAAAGAAAATTTGGGAAAATTTGGGACCAAACCTAAAGGGGAAGGGGGGAGGGGGTGAAATTTTGTAGACTTTCAGATTTTCGGAGCTTTGAAGCTTAAGAAAATGAGCGCAAGGGAACCTGAGGAGCCAGGAAATTCAAAATTTTCAAGAAAAATCCAAAAAGAAGAAGAAGAAACTTCCCAAAAGGTGGGTCCAAAGGGGAAAAGGGGGGAAAAGGGGCGCTGGACGTCTAAAAATAAACAGTTTGTTTTAGAAAATGGCCGCGCGGCACACTTGATCTATTCCGGACGGACGAATTGTGGCGCGCGAAGGAATAGTGTGGTGATCTTGGAGATTCGGGGGGGAAAAGTGATTGTTTGTGCAGGATCCGTTTGAGAGGCGGAGCTAATAGAAAAAAGAGAGAAAGAGAGAGTATGCCGAAAAAAGAACGCATGGAACGGGAAGTGAGAAAAATGGCATTTCTTTGGAGGGGAAGGAGTGTTTCCGGGTGGAAATGAACACCCTTTTGGGCACAGTGTTTTAGATTTAAAAAAAAATTTTTGAGGGATCGGTGTTTCTGAAAATTCAGAAAATTCTAAATTTGTGGAATCAGAAAATAGAAAATATTTGGAAAATCCGGAATTCAGCTCTTTTTTCGGAAATTTCGGAAATTTTGGAATTTTTGGAATTTTTGCACTTTTAACGATTTTGAGAATTTCGGAACTTTTCGAATTTTCTGAATTTTGGATATTTTGGAAAATATGGTTGATTTGGAAATTTCGGAAATTTTGAAAAACTTGGAAATTTGGAAATTTTACAATATTGGACTTTTAGGAATTTAGGAATTTTGAAAGTTTAAAATTTTTGGAATTTTTGGAGTTTTGGAGTATTTTCGAAGTTTCAGAAATTCAGAAATTCAGAAATTCAGAAATTCAGAAATTCAGAAATTCAGAAATTCAGAAATTCAGAAATTCAGAAATTCAGAAATTCAGAAATTCAGAAATTCAGAAATTCAGAAATTCAGAAATTCAGAAATTCAGAAATTCAGAAATTCAGAAATTCAGAAATTCAGAAATTCAGAAATTCAGAAATTCAGAAATTCAGAAATTCAGAAATTCAGAAATTCAGAAATTCAGAAATTCAGAAATTCAGAAATTCAGAAATTCAGAAATTCAGAAATTCAGAAATTCAGAAATTCAGAAATTCAGAAATTCAGAAATTCAGAAATTCAGAAATTCAGAAATTCAGAAATTCAGAAATTCAGAAATTCAGAAATTCAGAAATTCAGAAATTCAGAAATTCAGAAATTCAGAAATTCAGAAATTCAGAAATTCAGAAATTCAGAAATTCAGAAATTCAGAAATTCAGAAATTCAGAAATTCAGAAATTCAGAAATTCAGAAATTCAGAAATTCAGAAATTCAGAAATTCAGAAATTCAGAAATTCAGAAATTCAGAAATTCAGAAATTCAGAAATTCAGAAATTCAGAAATTCAGAAATTCAGAAATTCAGAAATTCAGAAATTCAGAAATTCAGAAATTCAGAAATTCTGAAATTCTGAAATTCAGAAATTCAGAAATTTCTCCAAAAATTTTTTTTGAAATTTTTGAAAGTTTCTAAAATTTCAAGATTTATAGATTTTTCTGCTGAAATTCCTATTAATGAGTCATTTCAGAAATTTTTGGTATGGTTTTTTGTACATACAAAAAAATATTTTCAGACAAAAAAATTTTTTTCAGACAAATACTTTTTTGTCTTAAAAAAGATGTCACACCCTATACATGGTTGCCATAGGTTACATATATATCTTTTCAAGCTACCTTTCAAGCGTGTTCTTTTTCTTCTCTCACCTCCTCTAGGCCTAAGCTCCGCCCACTTTCTCCCCTCTGCTCTGAGAGCTGAGCTGACCCCTCCTTCTCGTTTTCTTCCCCTTTTTTTTCTTTTTTTTTATTTTTCTCATATTATTTATCATATACGAGTCTGGTTTCTTTTATCATTACTTTTTAGATTTTTTAGAAAAAAAAAAATTTCTGAAACATTTTTTTTCTGGAAATCTCTCTTTTTCTTATTCCGAAAATTCTAAAATACTCTGACTTCAAAGATGCGAAATTTGAAAGCCGAAGAGGAAGCGCTAGCCGAGACGATATCTGAAATTATGGATTTGTTGAAAAAGACGACTAAGGATGAGCAATGCGATGAAATCATGTGCAATGAGCACGATGTAAGAGCCCATGAAACTGGAAGAATCGAGTTTCCCATGAAATTTCTAACATTTTAAGCCTAAACTTGCCTAAGACCTCAATTTTGAGGTTTTTCGAATTTTTCGAAAATTCAAAATTTTCAAATCCGAATATCTCGGATACCACTGAACCAAGCCAAATTTAATTTGCAGTTTTGAATTTCTCTTAAAATTTCTGACATTTTGAGTACCATATTGCCCATATTCTGAGAAAAATTGTCGATTTTGGGGTGGTGTGGGTGGCGCAGGTGGGAAGGGGCGCGACTGGTAAACTTGGGGTCGGGGGTTCGAAACTTTTTGCGGTCAATTATTTTGGTTTTTTGTGTAGAACATTAAAAATATACTTTGAATGTATTTGGTGGCCTAGAAATGTGTTTTTCTAAGATTTTTCTAGGCCAACAATCACAAAAAACTGTTTCAGCTATAACTTGGCTGAAAATGACTCGATTTTTATGAATTTTTTAGTGGATTGTCTTAAATTTTGTTTTAATTTTTAAATCACTGTAATTTTTTATCACATTATCAAAGTTTTCTATGAAGTTTCCCAACTTTTCAAGTCTAACAGGTCAAGGGCGGGCCAATGACAGCCTATGTCTTTTCTTGGGCAAAACTTGGGCATAACATGGGCAAAATGAGATTTTTTGAATTTTTAAGGTCGAAATTTAAATTTTCGAGGACATTTGCAACATTTTGAACTCAATTTTCAAATGTTTTGAAATATTTTGACTTGTCAAATTTTTCAAAAAAAAGTTTTTCTTTTCAAAAATGTTCTAATTTCAAGCAAATTTATCTCAGTTACTGTGAAAGATATCAAAAAGTTGTCAACTAATAAAATGTTTATCATATTATCAGCTACATTTCATCAGTTGACTCTATTTTGATATCTCTTACAGTAACCGAGATAAATTGAGTCAAAATTAGTAGGATTTGGAAAAAAAACTGATTATTGGGATTTTTGGAAACAATTTTTAAATATTCTGAAAATCGTCAAATTTATCAATTTAGTGATTAAAATTTCCCCTATTTTCCTCATAAAGGGGCAAAGGTGAAATTTAAGCAACATTTCATTGCTATTGCTGTTTTGAAATTTCTCTTCTTCTCTTTTTTATATGATTACTGATAAGAGACACCCCGCTTTGGTCGACCATATGTAGTAATGCACTTAGCCGCCCCTCTAATATCACCTGAGATAACATGGGACACACTTTTACCTCTAGTTTTTTGTGAAAAAGGTTAAAAATTGGAAAAAATTTTTTCGAATTTTTTTCAAAAATTCCAGTTTTTAACTTTTGATTTTCAAGCTTAAATTAGACCAAAATTAATCAAATTTATACTTAAAATGTCATAAATTTGCCGAGAAATTCAAATTTTTTAATTTCAATACCCCTAGACCTAGGCAAAATCTTCATTTTTCACAAAATTCCAGGTAACCCCCCTAAAGGATGGGTCACCTATAGGTATTTTTCGAATTTCGATTTCTAGGCTTAAACTCAACAGAAATCAGTCAAATTTATGTTCAAAATTCTTAAAATTGAGCGGGTAATTCGAATTTTTTAGTTTCAAAACTTCCGAAACTATTCTTACTCCCTAAATCTCACTTTTTTTCAAAAATACCTCAAGAATCCCAAAAGATGGGCCACCTGGTTTCCAAACATGTATACACTTGACCTGACCCCTAAACTTTATATATGTATATTCAGTCTCTTCCGACTTTTGATCTCTTTCCTTCTCTGCGTCTCTCACTTCCTAATACTCTCTCGCCTCTCTTGTCATCCGGGGGTCGTTCAGAGGTCAACCGATTGTCCCTCTCTCTCGGTTTTACTACATACCAGTCTCATTTTTCTTTTTCTGACCGATTTCACATTTGGTTTTATAAATTTAGATAAGTTTTCCACCCCAGTGGCCCCTTTTTTCTAGGAAAAATTTTTAATTTTGGCGGTTTTTAGGCAAAATTTGTCTAAAATTCCATCGGTGGCCTAAATCAGTTCCTGGTGGCCCCGAAATTCACATTTACGTTTTGAAATTTATATTTCTGAGTTCAGCAAGACAAGAGCTTCAAAATGAACCTAAACATGACTATATTCGGTCAAGTTTCAATTTTACGAATTTTTATTATGAAAAGGTCTGTGAATTGTCTTAAAAAGGCCTGTAACTTGTCTGAAAACCAATGTTTTTCCAAAATGCTGACAGATTTGATTTCAGCAAGTCAAGAG